GAAAGAAAGAAAGAAAGAAAGAAAGAAAGAAAGAAAGAAAGAAAGAAGACTAACAAAGTTATCTGTTTAAATATAAAAAATTGTACTTCTTTGTATGATTTTAACTTTAATTTCAAAAGATATCTGTTCTTTTGTATCATTTATTACAATGTATTCAATTTGTATTTTGGCTGGGCCTCCCTCCCTCATCACCTCCCAATCCCACACTCCCTCCCTCTTCTTCCCCTATGCCCCTGCTGTAGTCCACCGATAGGGAAGGTCCTGCTCCTCTTCTATCTGACCCTGGCCTATCAAGATATCGGTTCTTAACTTGTCACAGGCAAATATATATCTTGGCTGATTTTCCTACACATGCTATGGTTAGCAATACCTCTACAAATGCTATTTGACACAGACGGGACTTCCTATGTTGAAACACCCCTCCTGAAGACAACTTCCCTTCAAAGGCTACTCCCAAGGCAGTGATAGCAGATGCAATGAAGAGTCAGAGGTCCTGAGAGTGGGACTGTGGCGGCAGTGCAGCACTCGATTACTAAACCTTGCTTTGAGGACAGAACCTGGCCCCCCTTATTGTTTAAGTCTGCATAATGCAAAACCTTCCCTAGGCTTGACAGAGAATGTTACTGAAAGCAGCATGAGTGTGCAAAGTACAGATTTAATGCAAAGTACGTATGCACTGTAAATAAAAGCATCTACTAGAAAATATCAAATTAAATGGTTCTTGTGAGAAAGAACACAGGAGGAAAAAAATCTGAGAATAATGATGACAACCCCCCATCCCACTAATAAGAGAATTCTCTGTCTGAAGTTGGGAGGATGGCTGATGAAGCTGAAGCGGATGAGAAAAGCCATTCTAAGCAATCCCTCTGCGAGGAGCTTAAGGAATGCACAAATACCAGTGAGTAACTAGCACAGATGGAGAACATCCTCCATCAACCACAGGTGATAATGGATTTCAAGGGGAATGCTTCTAGAGACATACCCCTCGCCCCAAAGATTCAGGAAACAACTTTAAATAAGACTTTCCAGTGTTAACTAAAATTCTACTCATCTGGGCTCAGGGGTCCTGGCTCAGCAGTTAAGTAGCACGTTTGCAGTACTCAGGAGTTATCCTCCTGACAGCCACATCAGATTATCCAAAGCCTCCTGCTAACTCCAGCTCGGAGGACTCAAGAGCACCTCCCTGCACACAAGTGTGCGCACACACTCACCTGCATGCACTCGAACAAAATCGGTTCTCTCAGGAAAGATCTTTGTCTTGCCTCCTAAAGTCGCAAAAAGCAGCAAGAGCCTCATGGAGAGAGCATTCTCGTTCACAGAAGCCCTTCACCCTAGGTGAGAATTTCTACTGTGTGATCGTCATCCTTAAGGTCCCGAGGAGAGAGGCTACTGGACTCTGCCCCATTCCTGAGATCTGTAGCATCTCCTCATGCCATTTCCTTGCTACTGTTTCCTCCGTCCCAATCTCTTACAACCTGAGACCAGCCTGCATTTACCACTTATCACCTGGCACCCACTCCATCCACGATGACTAGCAGAATACAGCATTGGCCATTTCCTAACTTCCTCTTGGCTTTTAGCTAGAATTGGTTTTCTCCTATTTTGTCTTCTGTCTCTTCCTGGAAAGACTATATTCCCACTTAAAAATGCAAATAATTGTTTTTATCGGACTTTAAAGATTTGTATGTGTTCACTTTGTATCCTGGCTGTGGCCCCCTCCTTCATCTCCTTCAAGTCCCACCCTCCCTTCCTCTTCTCCTCTATGCCCCTCCCCCAGTCCATTGATAGGGGAGGTCCTCCTCCCTTTCCTTCTGACCCTAGCCTATCAGGTCTCATTAGGACTGGCTGTATTGTCTTCTTTTGTGGCCTGGCAAGGCTGCACCCCCCCCCAAGGGGAGGTGATCAAACAGCTGGCCACTGAGTTCATGTCAG